GTGTTGATTATGATGTGTTTAATAAATGAAGTTTCTGAATTACTTTATTTTTAAGGAAATAACACACTTAGTCATAATTTATGAAAATGCTATTATGTGTTACATTTTAAATAACCAACTGATAAGCAATCAACTATAAATAAAATTTAATCTCCAATTAAGAGGCAGAAATGTCAGTCACGATAGAAGGGAAAAATGTTTCAAAACCACTTAACAAATATTAAAATTTTTCTATTTTACATTAGTTACATTAAACGGCAGCCCGTAAAATAAAAATGTAGTTTAATCTTGGCTGTGAACTTCAAGGGGTATTGATTGCTTAAATTCATGGTCAACATTACCTTCAGGATCAAAATACATCTCCATGTATCTGTTCTCCTCAGCAAATCGTGGGCCTGAGAAATTAAAATCATGACAGTGTTTTAGAGTTTCATTGGGGTATTTTATAATTTTTTGCCTTACTTTTTTGCTTTGATTTTGTTTTCACCGAATGCCCTCAAAGAATGCAGGTAACTGGTGATTAAAAAAAAACTGTGAAGGCTGCTGCTTGCGTTTCCTACCCTGGCGCATGCGTGGACTCGGTGCCATCTGCATCAGTATTGCCTGACTCAATCTTGTTATTGCCGTTTTGGGCCAGTATCTCCGCTGCGTGCACACAAAAAAGTGTGTGCATGTTCTTGTGTACCTCGGTCTTCTTCTCCAACCAATGCTTATTTATGATTTTTAATTGCTTATTTTCTCCTATTCATTTACCTCACCTATACTACATTGTTTCGCTGTGTTTGGATTTAAGTGAATCTGAAGATTGGGATATTTTTATTTATTCACTGCTCCCATTAATGTAGAATTTGGGAGCCCTCTCTTTTTATTTTTCTCATTAGTGATCAGTTCTATTCTTTATGTTGCTACACTAGAATTTTTTCAGTAGAGGTAATACCACGAGTTAAACTTTCCATGTTTGACCAGCTGAGTGACTGTCCAAGTCACCTAATCTGAGATTCTCAATTTTCCCACCACTGGTGTAAGGCTAGAAAATACAACGATATCCTCTTCGCGGTATCAGCATTATGCAAAATGACTAATGTACAAACATCACACAATATTTTACACATAGCAAACCTTCAGTTAATACCAGTAAGTCTTTCCATCAAGATTGCTTTTATTTTGAAAGTGGAGAAAACATATTTATGCTTGTTAACACATTGACCCTCATTATAGTATTAATCCTTTCACAAGGATAGTATCAAGAGTGCTCTGAGTATCTTTCATGAAAGCTTCATATTAAAGGTAGATACAAGCAGAGATTTAGGAGACACCAACTACTTTGACCTGCTGAGGCCACAGCAGCCCCTGAAAAATACAAACAATAAGACATCCAAACAATACTCAATTCAGTCTAGTTTTCATGCAATACCACGGTCCTGTATAAGTGTCATAAGAGTATCTACGTGCCAGGAAATCAACACATTGCTAAATGTAAGCTCTCTTTTGAAACTAAGGTCCAAACCAAACCATCAACATTGTCTTCTCTGATGAATGCTTTTTACACCCCAAAATAAATCTGTTGTCACTGGAGCTTCATTTTATAGCTGTTCCTTTTTTCAAATATATGTAAAAAATATTCTTAAATAATTATGTCATAGCTGGTACTTATGATGGAGACCAGAAAAGTGTTTAGCATTCTATAGTCTGGATGACTGAAATTATCATTCTTGGGTAGGGGGGGGTCACACAATAAAGATTGTAATGACCACTTTCTCAGGACTTTTTTGTTTTTTTTTGGAATGCTTGGTTTAAATTTTTTGTTCCTTTGGTTAGACATTGCTTCCAACTCTACATTCAGGAAATATTGGAATTAGGTGGATCAACATAAAACACAAGCTGCAAATATCCCCCCAACCCCCCCAAAACAAACAAAAACCAGAAGCCAGGCATTCTTTGTAGGGAAAACGCAGAATAACGTTTAAATATCTGACTCCTCCTGAATACTGAGGTAGCATTTTGAGGAAATTGGTGTGTGTGTTGTAGGTGGGGGTGCTATTTTGGGGGAGGGAGAATTTCTGTAGAATGCAGGGTCAGGAAAACTGAATTTTAAAAAAATTTAGTGGAAATAAAAAAGAAAATTTGTCTAAGCCTTTTGTAGCAGAAAGCTTTAAACTCTAGGCTGAAGAAATTTGATTATTTTGTAATCAATAGTACATAATTTGAGATTGATAAGCAGGACAGTAACATAGAAATGCAAAGAATATGGAAGAACAAGGAACCTGAAGATCATTTTCTCTAAATCCCTGATCTTACTGGCGGGATACTGAGATCTTTGAAAGTCAGTCAACTACCTCAAAGTCTCATTAAACTGTGTCCTATGTAAGTGGGATTCTGTATTCCTGGGCTTAGTTTGTGTTCTGTTTAGAAATTAAGTAACTCAACTCAAAATGGGGGTGAAGAGGGTAGAGACTTATATGTATTAGATGGTCTTCAAATAGAAACATAAACTTTAACTTTTCATCTCACCCTGCTTTCCTCCAAACTGAAAGATTGACTCACTGCTGTTTTTCTAAAGTTGCTTCATGCATTTGCAGCTCATTATAATAGAATAAAGCTGCTGTCAGACTTTTGGTGCGAAAATATTTGGTGGGGAGGGTAAAATCGAAGATGAGTTTCCACCTCTACACAACTGTATCCCTGCTGCTTTGTTCTTTCATCTTTATTGAAATATCTGTACAAAAAACCAAATGTCATCAGCTAGAGATTGTGATAAATCTATTGTCGAGTTAAACAGGAGCATAGTTCTTAAGTCAAAGCTGGTGAACAAGCTCACCTCAGTACTAGGTGCAGAAGTCCAGTCCTGACAGTGGTGATTAGACCCCAAATTAAACGAGATCTTTCTTCTAAAATCACACTTTTTTCAGCCTTAGAAAAACTGTCAGTATACTATAATTGCCCTTCAGATGTATCTCTTTGAAAAGATGAATGAATAAATTGAGGGAAAATATTAAAGGAAGGCATAATAGACGTGAAGCACAGAAAGTGAATCATCTTACACTGTTTCTCTCCTAGTTATTTTCTCTCCGTGTGCTACAGCAGGAACATTAAAGTAATTAAAAATTATTTGAAGTTGTTCAACCATGCTCATTTTTACCGGAATTAACCACATGTGTCTGCACATTATATACTTTCTAAAATGCTAGACCATTCTATTAATGAAATAACTGAAATAAAGCATGACCTCCCCAAATACCTGGCACAGAACAAATCTGAATAACCAAATTCTCTGGCTCCTTGAAATCTCAAACAGACCTGCTGCTTCTATATTTAGGTATCCTACAATGGACTTCCGCAGCAAACGCTGAGTAGCTATCCCACTTCAGCCGCCCGAGCGCCCGAAGCGCCGAAGGGGTCAGCAGCAGGGAGCGACGTGAGTGTTTAAGAAACTGGCACGGAGCATCGGGCCGGGGCGCGCGGCGCGGTGACCACAATGTCGCCGGTGCCACCGGCCGGCGAGGGGCAGCAGGCGACCAGCCAGGCCGGCCCGCTTCTCGGGGCTGCGCGGAGCCGGTCCGGATGCCC